AGGGAGTTTTCGTCAACATGCGCGATTCAACAAAAGATCTAAGGATATGTAGGATCTCAAAAGATTGCCGCCTCAATTCACGCCCTCGGCGCCCTGTGAGCGCTGTCAAATATAGACTCGCCCATAACGGATGATGTCCTCTAAGCAAACCGTAAGAATGCGGCTAGTTTACCGCCTTGCACGTCGTTGCAAACATCCCCGAGAAAAACCTTCAGGCTTAGTCAGAGCTGTTATCTGGTGTAATTATGGAAGAATTTCACTCACTAGGTGTTCCCCGCACTTCATTTACAAGCGAACAATCTTTCTCACCAGAAATGTGTTCATCTCTACTGCTCCGCACGGACACTGGATTAACAAGCATCGTCATTACATGAAGCATGAAACATACTCAATAATGTCTCTTCAACTTTAAATTCGTTGCCTGCCTCTCGCACTGAAGATCGCAACATTAAGCGGCTCTGGCCACTTTGCATTAACTCTGAGATGGGCCCAAGTGACCCCATCATACGGTTGTAACCAATCAGATAGTCTGAGACAAATACATACATTAGCTGATTTCTGTCTTAGCACAGGTACACTGGGCCCAATGATATACTATCAATAACTCACGTCTCATCCTGAGACCGTGGCTCACTTTCGCTCCCGAGCTCTGGCCATCCTGCACGACTTTTTGGAACTCGCCACTTTCCTTGCGAGAGATTGCTACACATACAACATCCGTGAGTATCATGGTGCTGCTTACTGCTAAAACATTACTATTTTCTCAGCATGACTGATATGCTCGTTGAGCCTCCACCCTTCGTCTTCAATCGACCCTCGCGGTACGGATGCTATGATGCAATATGACATCGCAATTTAAAAAGAAATTGAGCCAACGCGATTGGCCACGGGCGAGCCACACCTATATAAAACACTTCATAACAACGACAGCTATTATCACACCAGGATAAAGCGTGCCGCGATAGCGGCAATGAAAGTTCTCAACTCTTAGACTTAGTTCACTAATTATTGCCTTCGTCGACGGGCGGACAAGAATTTCATTTGCACACGGTGCGCCTGGCTAGGTATTGCGAAGACCTGCTGCATCTATCGCCTCGTGAATTTCATGACAAGAATACTTCTTGAGTAGGCAGCCGCAAATGAATTATTATTTTCGCGCGCGGCGTTTAGATTAGCGATCGCTAGCGCGACTTGTCGTTGACTCATTGAAGTATTGCAACTTTATGGTATTTTGAGCCTCTTTTGTTCATACAATCCGCTTCACGGAGGAAGCAGGTAGTGTATTGACCGACGCAAAGTTGAGCCTTGGCCACCACTTGTTATATCTCAATGAGACCAGCCAGAAACAGGAACTTTTAAATCGTGTCTAGCTGTCACTAGTACAGATAGTTGGCTAATAGACGAATGTGTAGCTGAGCAAACTCAGTTGCCTTACACCGAGAAAGTTTTTGACACATCGAGCTTGCGCTAACACGCACGCATAGGACGCTTACACTCCATTCAGAAGTCGAATGGATAGTTTATCAAGTAACAACTATTTAATTTGATTCAATTGCTAGAGTGATAAGTTTAAAATGGATCCCAATATGTCTACTCTACCATTTCAAAATTTATTTGATGAATGCCGTGAGGCTAGCATAGGATGTGGGCCTCCTCTTAACGGAGTCTCATCACCCTCATCTCAACCAAAAACTTATCATGATACTTCTACTGGTACTTCACCGTGGTACTTCCAAAATTCCAATGACAGTAGTACAATACGTATGAACATCATTATAGGGGTCCACGCGCACAGAACGTTTAGTATTTGTCCACCAGGACCGAAGTGATTTACACATGAAGATTTCGACTTTTGGTCGATTTATGGCTTGTGGTGTTCCAGCCGCGCTGTACCCAGGACAGGACTGTATGTCGAAGACCAGGTAGATTTCCAACCTTTCAAGGTCTCGAAACGTTATAAAAAAAATCAAAAGATCATGACATCTTTATATATGTCCCCGCTAGAAGCACATGGCACAATCAATGACTTCGCATATGCTCCACTGTCTTTACCAGTCAGGCGTCGCACATACTGCTCTTTGACTCCGCCAGGGCTTTCACTTATGAACCGATAACTTCAAATACCGTTCGGAACAGCATAATAGCTCATCGTGCTCGACTTATTGCGTGATGGCTATAAACTGGCAGCCACCCGACAACTGAGAAAAGTGTCAGTTAGCGGAGGTCTTTTTATCGTTGCTATAATTCCGACATGAGTTGGGTCAACAACACTTCTAGCAAATTGTCAATCACTGTACTGATTTATGGATTTTAAGGATCAAAACAGCCATTCTAATTTTAGTGTCAAATTGGTAATTTGAAGGTTGTGACATTGCGGCTGGTTGATATGAAGGTTAGACGTGAAAAAGGTTCGCGCAGTATATCGAACGAGGTTGCAAAAAGTAAACTTTCTGAGCGAAGAACTGCTTGCGAATTTGAGCTGATATCAGCAGAGTTTTCAGGTGAAGGGTCGGATACAAACAGCGAGAATGGTTCCGAATCAAGTAGCATCGACTTTAGGCTAAGTAATGATGACAAGAAAGCTGATTTTTCAATGTTGCAGCCACGTGCACAGTCACCGACAAATACAGGCCAATTAAGAGCAAGAAGTATAAAAATCATAGACAGTCTTGACCTATCGATGTCGATAGCGCCACTAATTGGATCATCACATCAAGTTCCGACGATAGATGATGGCCGCGCGAATGGAGAAGCATTACCTATCAATATAGCAGGTGAGAAGTCGCACCATGGTTATCATCAGGAAATTTTCAACACGCAGGAAGCTATTCACAAACCGACAAAAATATCAAAGCTTGTGCAACAGCATCGAAACCAGGGTCATAGGCGGTGCGCTGTCGCATTAGAAAACTTCGTAGCGTGTGTGCAATCCTCGCCGTCGGTAGAAACTTCTTTGGCCTTTCCAGGCAACAATCAAATTAAATGGAAACCTACAGAGAAAGCGTCAAGCGTCTCAATAGAGAAGCAATTTTTTGCCCCCCCTTCACAATCCTTATTACAAATAGGGAGACAAAGCAAGGGGAATGGGATCTCTTTCAGAATGAATTCGACAAGTGTAGAAGAACAGCAACTACTACAATCTTTGGATAAGCTCGATCAACGTCTATCGAAAGTCAGTATTTTGGCAGATTCAGAGCATGAAAGGCGGCGGCAAGCCAACAGCAGAGAGCGGAATTTGGATAGCGTTGCCTCTCAGAATACCAGAGGTCACGGCGCCGCCAGAAGCAAGCCCAATGACGACACGTTGCGAGATACTGGAGCCATACAAAGTAAGTTATACCAACCGGCATCTATATCTGTACGATCGTCTTCTTTGAAGCGCGCTCAGCGTTCTAGTGGTGTCCGTAAGGCTCGTGTTCGAGTCGGTGGGACCTTCGTCAATGACGTTGGCTATGTCTCCACAGATGCAGGCGGAAAGCATCAGCTTGCTGTAAAACGAACACTATCAAATATGGTTTTCTAGAAGGAGAAGTATTTTTCAGTATATATGTGTGCTACTCGATCATCTGTCCATAAAGTTTTTCAGATCAACGTCTTTTTTGTTTCGTTTTATCTAAAATGTGCATAAAGATACAACAAGTCTACAACTCCCCGCAATCCACGATTTCAACTTCATTTTCTGAAAGAGGACGCTTATTATCCTTACTCACTTTGACATTTTGCATCGCATCCACGACATCGAGACCTTCAATGACTTCGCCGAATATGACGTGTTTTCCGTCGAGATTCTTGAGATCCGCCTTCGTCGTAATGAAAAACTGCACATTAATCGCGCGGACATGAGAATCATTAGATAAGCAGAAATTTTAACACGTGTACTTGCACTGTGTACCTGTGAGCCGTTTGTATTTTTACCAGCATTAGCCATAGATAGCAAGCCCACGTCATCATGCGGCAAGAAACCTTCATCCTTAAAGTTTCCCCAAAGATCACCATGCGATGTACCGCGATAAATACTTTGGCCACCAGTACCGTTTCCCGTGGTGAAATCTACGCATCAATTAATAGCTTACTATTTTCAACAACTTTTTGAAAAAATTAGAGCAAATCACCTCCGCCTTGGACCACGAAGTCTTTGATAATGCGATGAAATTTACTGCCCTTGTATGTGAGAATGCCACCCTTTCAAAAAGATTGAAAACTCCATTAATACTGATTAGTTTTGGCCGCAAAATTCTAGACGCTACCTTTTCACCTGTGCAAAGGCATCTAAAATTTTCCGAAGTAAGCGGGACTATATCTTTCAGCAGACGTATGATGATTCTGCCGACTGGTAGGCCAGCAATCGATATATCCATATATACAGTGGGGTCGGTCGCCTTTGAAATAGTCTTTTTCTTGCGATCTTTTAGACTAGCGACGGACACGTAACGCTCATAAAGCTTCTGGAACAGAATATCCTCACGACTTTCGTATGCCTCCAGTGTTCTATCGACTGTATCTAACTTGTCGGGGTTATATTTGCGATAAAATGACACCAACCGATCCTTATGAGTTAAATTAGTATCTGCTAACGCCGGCTCAGATCTATCACCATGAATCGAGCCTTCTAAACGCCAATCAGCATTTGTCGTTTGCGCTGCATCTTCCTGGGTCTTGCCAAAACCTAATCCGTAGCCTTTTTTAAGCAGCTTTTCAGCAAGACTCTCTGGTGAACTGCTGTCTCTTTCTCGCACAAAAGACTTGCTATTGCCAATTTGCGCAGCTTCCTCCAGTAGCTCCTGGTGCTGTTTATGCCACGACTGTTGCGAGCGCTGTCGGAATGACGTCGGCGACTTGGCGGCCGGGTCAAATGAAATTTTTATCCTATCAGATACGCTAGGAGTCTGCGTCGTCATACTCAAACTTCGTTCCAAATCATTCAAAATTGGTTCGCATCGCAATTTTTTAACCTCCTCCCACTTTTGTAAGGATCGTTTTTTATAGGCCGCTGCTGTCTTTACATCTTCTGGCTCCGTGACAACTTTGTTATCACCTTCACACCACTGTAAGGCAGCAGCAATAAAACCAAAATACGTCAAAAAAATCGCCGCAATATTCACATGCTGCTAAGCATTTACGTCGATTAGTCGTAGCGGATGATACGGAGTCACCAGTTTTCTATTCGCCATGGCGAATTTGAGCACGAGCAAGAAAATATGTATAGGATATATATTTTTGTGCTCTGAATATTATAGTACTTTGTGATTCGTCAAAACTCACTTGCCGATCATTGGTCAGGAAAAGCGAGTGGAGGAGAGTGAGTCCGAGCTCTCAACAATAATCCATTTCCTCTTTCTAATCCAGTGACATCTCTTTGCTAAAATGGTGTTTGAGAAGCCTATCGTTGTCGACTGCCGTGGTCACCTGTTAGGTCGTCTGGCTTCTCTGATTGCAAAGGAGCTTCTGCAAGGGCAGCATGTCGTTGCTGTACGATGCGAGCAGCTCGAGATCTCCGGCTCGCGTAAGTAAAGTTTGTAGATTGGATTGAATGATGTGTAGTGTGCTACAACAGTCGCACACGTGTCCAGCTTTGCTTCCAGTGGGCTGTCGTGTGTGGCTGGGGCCGTATAGAGCGTAGTGAAGCGGGTGTCTTGCTTCGTAGAAAGGTTTTTGAGTGTGGAAAGGATGCTGCGCGTTTAGTACGCTGATTGTCTCTAACGTCTTACTTAAACAAGTGTATCGGGTCTCTGTATATTCTCGCTTGGTTTGCTGCGCCTCCACGCTCCTCGTCAATATTCTGGTGCAATGGAAAGCTTTCTTCTCCAATGTGAAGAAAGTGATTTCTGATTACTGACTGTGTTGAGTAGCAAGTCAAGTTTAGATAATCGAGACCCGATATATTGTGAGCACAAGTCGTGAGATGACTGCAGAGGCATTGTGTCACTGCAAAAACCTTTCCAAACATGCAAAAGTCGCTGCGTGCAGACACCCTGTGGATCCGTGCAACATCTTTAGATGTTAGTGCAGTAAAGCAGCGGTGTGTCATGCCGTCTGGCTATGTAGTTTGAAGAATAGGTCGCTGATGTGATCTGCTCTGGATTCTACGTATGCAACAGACGTGCGCAACAAAATCAAGTTCTTACAGTTCTTGAACAAACGTACGGCTACCAACCCCAAAAAGGGACCCATCCACTACCGTGCACCATCGCGCATGCTTTGGCGCACGATCCGTGGTATGCTTCCACACAAGACGGCACGTGGTACTGCCGCTTTGCAACGCCTTAAGGTATGAAGGTGTTGTTTTGAATGCAATATGTCGATTCTAAAGGTGTATGTGAAACTAAATACAGGTGTTCGATGGTATCCCGTCGCCGTATGATAAACAGAAGCGAATGGTTATCCCTGCTGCTCTGCGTGTGCTCAGACTAAAAGCCAGTAGACGCTTTACTGTCCTCGGTAACCTTGCATCTGAGGTTGGCTGGAATCACGCTGAGCTGGTCAAACGTCTTGAGGCCAAGCGTCTTGTCAAGTCGGATGCTTTCTACAAGCGAAAGATTGCTCAGCAAAAGCGTCACGCCGAAGCAAAGGCCAAGGTCTTTGCCGAAAATTCGGAACTCAAACCGACGCTTGCCAAGTATGGTCATGCTCTTTAGGCAGTTGGCTTTGTTATTGGTTGAAGCTAGTATATCAGACTTTTCGATATATTTTTAATTGAATGGTGACCTCTTGAGGAAATTTGCTGAATGTCTTATGATTTAAGTACATAAGCAAATGAATTGCAGTATGATACTGGCTGATAGTAAATTTATGAAATTACGTGCATTAAATCACTTGTTGGATGGTTCTACAGCCCATCAAATGCGCTAAACTTATCTCTGCTTTGCTGGGGGGCGTATGGTGCCTGGATCTGTAGCATCTGGCCGGGACCAGCAAGTCCCATACTGGGTTGAGCATAACTATCATTGATAGGCGCTTGTTGTTGCAGTCCATAAGGCGTCATTTGCATCATGTTTGGATTGTACTGCTGCTGGTTGTTTATTCCGATGCCCAAGTTCTGGCCATATGGCACCATTCCTTGTTGCTGATTTAACGAATTCACTTGCATTCCTATTGTTTGCTGGCTATGACGAAAGTCCCCAGATTGTGTTTGCCCGTTTGAACCAATGCCCGATCCATTGAACAAGCCATTGCCACCAGTATAATTCATAGCTGGAGCAGCAGGTGGCATGACAGTTAGCAAGTCTCCTGTATTAGGGAAATCCTGTGATGTCGGGGAAGACTAAAAGTTCAACAAATAATGAGCAACAAGGATATTGATAATAATCAAATTTCAAACACACCTTAGTCGTGCCAGCGTTCAGGCCAAGTATATCCGCATTTCCATCATCTGTTTTGCCTACTCGACGACTGGATTTCACATTTCCTTTCTTGCCTGCTCGGCGACGTGCGGAGAAGGATTCTGCACGCTCAGATGCAGACTCGCGACGACTACCCGAGTCGCGTCGTTCTGTTCTATTTCCTTGCATAGTGCTGCTAGACGAGCTTCCTAAATGATATGGGTCATCCGAGTATCGGTCGGGTCTCTGATTTTGAGATGCTTTGGGATCCTGTTTTTTTTTCGGAACATAATCTTCTGACAACAATTTGTTTGCGGCAGCCACACCCGACTCACGTTCCTTCGACACCTCTGCCGCGCGAACGACGTTCGACAATCCCGAAGCAGCTGTGATTCCAGTCGTTACTGTGCCCACCGAACTCTGTGAAGTGAATGATTTGTCACGATCGCTTATCACTGCTTTAAGCATATCTTGCATTTTTTCGCACACTAAGTCAAATTGCGAGTTTGTTAAAGTTTGCTCCCATAGTAGAGGGGCAACTGCGGGAATAATTAATTTTGCTATGAACTCTGGACCGAGATGCTTGCCGAGATTATCGTAGCAACCAAGAATGCACATGCACGCGGCAGGCGTCTTGTCTTCATGCAGGGTCTGTTGAAGAGTAGGTAGTACACTTTCAATCAGTAGATCCTTATCGAACACGTGAAATGATTTTGCCAGCCAGAGCAGTGCATTGATTCTCACAGATGGTTGAGGGGGTGTGAGTATAAGCTTGTTTACTCGCGGCAAAATCACTTGCTTCAAAATGCGGTACTCGAATAGACTGGCCTGATCTACAATTTTGTTGAGTACTGTGTCAAGAATTTCGGGTACGGTACTATCCAATGCACGGCACAGCATCGGTACAACGTGATCTCGAATGTATCCCTCTTCAGCTTTTGGAATAAGAGTCTCGAGCTCTGAAACGAACATAAGCATACATTGCACGGGCTCTTTAATGGCAAGCAGAGGAACCATCATCGCTGCGATAGAATACGAAAATGTTTGCTTGTCTACCTTTGCCACAATCTTAAGTAGCGGTGTGATCACAAATGGAGCTACGGCCTTGTTTATCACAACTGACTGGAGACCTGGAAGGACCATATCACGCAACACACGCGGCGAAAAGCCATCGATAGCATCGGGCAAGGTCGTCAAAAACTTCGCCTGTGCGGCCGGTTCCTGCTCTACTAGACTTTGTAGTGAACGAAGCGTCTTAATTGGACCGGAATCGAAAAAAGGCGATGCAAGAAAAGTGCGTGCCTCTAAGCGTTTAGCAGGTTCCAGGGAGAGCAACGAGCGAATAGTATTTTGCAACGCAGTTGGTATCGATCTTGGAAATGCAATCGGGTGGAGGGACTGCACCTTGTAGCCATGAGTCATTTTGTTTCCATCATGCACATCTAATACCGGATTGCGTCCGCCATCCGCACGGGGTGGGACAAATAATTCGTAGATTAGTAGACCAAGCGAGAACATATCCGCCTTACTATCAAATTGACGCGGTTCTGTCACCAGTTCTGGAGCACAATATTGAAGCGGAGGCTCCGAGCTTCCTTCAATTGCTCCTGTGGCTGGATTTCGTACCCCTGTCGAGGCGTCAATGCTGTAGTATTCGCTGCGCGAAGTTTGTCCAGGCTCTACTACTCTACAAAAGCCCATACCACCAAGCTTCCACTCGCCCTTGGGTGTAATAAAGATACTACTTGGGCCGAGACTGAGATGCACGCGCCGTCCCTCCCGATGGAGAAAGCTGAGGGCCTCTCCCACGTGCATCAATCCGCAGGCAAGCTCGAACTCTGATAGACCGATCTCTAATACCTCAGGCGTAACATTGGTAATATTTGTAAAATTCTTGCAGGCATTGGCTAGTGAACAAGTGATGCGTTCTGTAACAAAGCACAGGGAGCGGCGGCTCTCTTCAAAGACCTCTTCGACCTTCAGCACATGCGGATGGCGTAGTAGACGCAAAGTCTTCATCTCCTGGCGCAAAATTTCGAGCACACGATCCTGTACATCTTTATTTTTAATTCGCTTAAGATCGTCTTTGTCGAAAAGAAATACACTGTAATCATGATTAGTCTTGCGATGCACAGCAGGGAAGATCTTCCATGATAGCTCGTGACCACCCGATGCCGTACAGTCTTTTGGTGTCTCGTAATGTTTCAGATATTCCTCACTCAATATGCCTTGAAGATTTTGTGCACCTGAGACGGCAACCGATGCCGCACCGGACACGGCTGTCTGAACGGCGCTCGAGAAGCGATTCAGCATGCTGGGGAGGGTCTAATTTTTAGAGCAACCAAAATGTATGTAGCTTTTTTACCCAAAACCGATTAATATAGGTCTAATTTTGTGTATCTGCTGTTAAAATAGCAACTTACTTATTTTGCAAAAATGGACTTACCAAAGCCTTGTACAAGACCCTAAAAGAGTACTTGCACATACCACATTAGAAAATACTTAGGTGAGTTCCATGAATAGTAGCATGATCAGAGGAGGGTGATGAGAGTCCGTAAAGGAGAGATCCTTGGAATACATGGGCTGCAGTTGGGCTGCCGTAGCTTTGCGCTTAGAGGAAGCGTAAGTTTGGTCACCGACCTTTCGTTCTATACTTAGAACAAGTACAAGTTTAGCAGATCGCAATCCGCTTACTCCAAGAGTAATTACAACCGTAACCCAAGGCTAATTAACTCTTCCGTTTAAATTCAAAAACTGACTTTATTTATTTTT